CGTGCGGCCAGGGCAAAGGCCCCGGGGCGGCGCCCTGCGGGAACACGGCGGCCTCGTTGGGGCTGTGGCCCGGGAACTCGGGCCCAGCCGAGTGCAGCTGATAGGAGAAATCCGGCTCCGGGAGCGAAGCCAGCGGCGAGAAGCCGGGCTCTGCGCCCAGGCGGGCCTTGGACTGCAGGAACGCAAGGATGCGCGCGTACTTGGTGTCCTTGGTCTCCATCCTCTCCACCGTGGTGAGGTAATGCACCAGGTTCTTCATGCACTCGTGGTAGCCATAGTGAAAATAGTTGGCGAACTCCGCTAGAAGTTCTGCTGGAGAAGCAAGAAAGATTGCAAGACGGAAAAACCTCCGAGCACCCCATCCCCAGAGAGTTTGAGGTGGGTGCCGGGCATCTCCCACCACACGTGCTGGCCAAAGTTCCCTTTCGAGGTCCTCGCTCTCCTCTCCAAAGTCTACGGACTGGAAAAGCTCCAGAAAGAACCGGACCACACCCACCTCACCAGAGGGGAGGCCTCAGAACCAGTCTTCCCTAGCGTCGCCCCGGAGGGAGAGGAGCTTTTGGGGACTCCCTCCTCCCCTCGCCCCGTCAGTTTCCACCTAGTAGTCCTCTGGGGGTCGCGCCTTCACTCGCACTCCCAGCCCCCAGGTCTCGCTGTGGCGCAAGGTCCCTGCCCGGTTTCCCTTTCCCTAACTCAGCCCACCTTTTTCCCTTCCCCGGGGAAAATCCGCCGAGTGCAGAGCTCTCAGGTACTGAACGGTCATCTCCAGGATCTCCGCCTTCTCCAGCTTCCCAGAACTCTGAAGAAGGAGAAAGGCTGCTGCAGCAGGCCTGCGGTGGCAGACCGACCCCAGCGGGCCGGAGGGCCCGACTTTATCTGGAGAGGGCGGTGAGTGAGGCGCCTGTGCCTGCGGCTCTCGGCGCTCGGGCTCAAGGGGAGGAGGTCGGCCCTGAAGACCCGCTGCCTCCGGGGAGCTTGGTGTTTCCGCCCAGAGTGGCCACCGGGGGTGGGGGTGCGGTTCCCGAAGCTGGGCGCCCGGCTTGGGCTGTGTACCTTACCTGCTTCGCCAGGGCCATGGGTACCGTCTTGCCCAGCTCATTCAAGCAGCGGTTGATCCGGTCCCGCCTCCGCTTTTCTATCACTTTATGAGAAACCGGGGTTCTCTGCGAATAGAGGGTTTTATGTTTAGGATGGCTTTGCCCAGGGAGTCATTCAAGGTGCTGCAGTAGTTCACTCTTCCGAAAGAACCCCTGCGCCGCCGCACCAGGGCCAAGGAAGCCCGGTCCCCGCTTGCCCGAGGTGGCGCCCTCCTCTTCCAGCCACCCTGCTCCCTAGGGCCACTCAGCCAAACCGAGCGCCAGCTTTGGGGAGGCCACCAGCTTCCCTTCGTGAGCTCCTCCCGGGGTAAGGACTCTCCTCGCTCTATCTCCGTTCCCTTCCCAAATCACTTAGGGTTCTTCCACACGCAAAGTCCCCTGTGGCCAGGTCTCTGCCAGCAGTCCAGCCAGGTGGAGGGTCAGTGAGGCCCGCCTCCGCACTAGGGCGCAGGGACTCACTTTGCGGTCCTTGAGCTTGTCTGACATCCCGGTGAGCGCGCGCCCTCGGGAGAGGCGCCGGTGCGAGGCACACGTCCACTTTCCGCCTCTTCCAGTGTGGCAGGTAGACTGCGGCCTCCCAAATCAGAGGGGCTGCCTTATAAAGCGGTCATCTAGGACTCCAAGTGCATTCACGAGTTCAATTATTCCATAGGATTAAGGGATCTGCGTTTGGAGGATGTATGCATTCAAGATCAGTTTTAAAGAAGTTAAGAAAAAAAAATTAGCACCCGAGGGGGGTGAGCTGGGGGCAGATCAGTTTTGTTAATCCACGTGGCTCTTCAAAGGACACGTGATCGGCTGGGAATATCATTAGCAGGCAACAGACGGGGAGGAAAAGGAGGCGGTAAACTGAGCCGGCGGATCTGCGTTTGGAGGATGTATGCATTCAAGATCAGTTTTAAAGAAGTTAAGAAAAAAAAATTAGCACCCGAGGGGGGTGAGCTGGGGGCAGATCAGTTTTGTTAATCCACGTGGCTCTTCAAAGGACACGTGATCGGCTGGGAATATCATTAGCAGGCAACAGACGGGGAGGAAAAGGAGGCGGTAAACTGAGCCGGCGGAGAAAGAGTCTCACACGATCTCCTGTTTACAAATCCCAGCAAGGCCGCCGTCCCAGAGCCGAGTGCGTTTTAAAGCCTGTCCAGAGTCATTAAAGTAATTAAGTAAGCCTTTAATAGGCTGTTCCGCCGGGTTCAAGGGAGAGCTCTTGGAGAGGGAGGCGCCCCGTTTGTTCCCAGGCTTTTCTCACACGACTTGGTGACACGTCCATCTCCCCCCTTTTTGTTTACACCGCTTTATTTGTCCGGACATCCCGGCAGGTGTGGGGCTGCGGCTGGCACACGAGGCTCCCGCCTCGCCCCTCCCGAGGGTCTTTGGCACGCGACGCCCCCCTGCCCAGCCTCTCGCTTTCTTTTCTCCCCCCCCTTCGGGCACTCTCTTCGAGGGGGGAAGAGGTTCAATTTGTAGCCTATTATCCTATACGAAAATGTCCATTGAAAAGTATGAATAGTTTCATTGGGTTCAATTTTAATAATGCCGGGGGTGGGGAGGAGAGACAGGCGGGGCGTGTGTGTGAGTGTGAGTGCGAGGGGGGGGGTGGGAGGGTTGGGGGGCAACACGGGGAAGAGTGGACTGAGAAGAAAAGGGGGAATGCAGCTGGCCAGGCGAGTATTATGCGACGTCACCTGCGTGAGGGGCGCCTACAGACCCCTATTCATTTGCCTAATTTTGGTCAATTTAACAAACTTCAGGAGAAATTATTGTGGCTTTGTCAGGGAGGGTGAAGCCTTCTGATCGAATTAACAGCATGTTTTGATCCGGTAAATGTCATTAGAAAGGGAGAAACAATCGCGCTTAGAGGGCTCTGGGTAATGCGCCCAAGTGGAGACGCCAAAGCGCATGGCTCACAAAGGGAGCAAGTAGCTGCCACAGGGAACTTTTGTACCCGCCCATCGCCCAAGTTTTGACACAAAAAGGCATTATTTCATACTTGAATACGTTTAATCCAACGATTGTCTATTTTCTGCAAACATATTTTCACAGCATTGTTAACTTTTTATGTCTCCCTTTCGCGGGCGCCTTTTCTTAACGTTTGGGGGCGGGAGAGCGCAGACACTTTGGGCATCAATATTTGTCACTGAAAAGGGCCCCGTGAAGTTAGGGGAGTTGATCTCTTTTTTATGGCTTTAGAAAGCGAAAATATCGGGGGAGGAGGGAGGGAAGGCACGAAAAGAAACGAAGGGGGAAATCCACCGGACAGGCCCAGGGGGAAGGAGGGGTGGCAGAGCCTGGGAAGCTCCTGGCCGGCTGCGCCTGGGCGGGCGGCGGCGGAGGCCTCCTCCCCCACGAACCACTTCGCCCACGTCGGCTGCCTGGGGACCCTCGCTCTGGGGGCTCCGAGTCTGAGGCTTGCGGGTGGTGCGTGATCTTTCTTGCAGATGGAAACAATAAAAACTTTTGTTTTATGACTTACTCTCAGCAAACAAGTTCTCACCTTTTCCTAATCGTTTCCATCTGGGAATAGCAGCGATAGCTCTTTAGATATCACCCCTTTCTTTGCGGTCCACCACCCCGCTTCAATTCTCTCTCCTCCTCAAGACAGCGGCAGCTCCCGGGCTCTCCCTGTGGGTGGTGTTGGTCCTTGGGCAGAGGTGGGTCGGGTGGAGCGTGGCCGCGGCTCTAGGGCGCAGGAGCAGGCCCGGGCGCGCTGCGTCGGGGAGGAGAGCAACCCACCTGCCGAAGCCTGCGAAGAGTAGGCCGGGTCTGCACCACTCACCCGAGGGTGTCCCTCTCCGTCTTGCTTTTGGTTTCTTTTCTATCTCACGCCAGATTGGACACGACCCACACCCTCCTGCAGTTTGCTCTGCCAGCCGCGGAGCCTTCTCAGGGGTTGTCCATTTTAGTACAATCACTTGCACACAAAGGGATTAAACACGAACCCTTATCATCCAAATTAACTAAAGTGAATGGGTAAAAGGCAGCGCACACACTTCTCACCCGCACTCCCCTTTTTAAGCCAGCGGGCTGGGAGTTGATCCTCTTACTGCTGGAGTTAACCACCAGCTGCAGCACCTTCCACAGGCCAAATTTCATTCCATTCGAACTGTTTCATTTCCCGGCGCCGATGGGGAGCTGGGCCCAAGGGTTGCCCAGGGCTAAAAGTCCCGAGGTGCGGTTTAGCTTGCAGTGGGGTGAGGATGGGGGTGGGTACAGGACTGGACCACAGTTGCGCATGCTCGGGGCTGTGGCATCCACCTGCGGGAAAGCGACCGCCTCTTCGGATTTTAGTTTCTCCCTTCCTTGCCTGAAGGTCTGAATCACACTGCCCAAAAGTGGGGTGCCTCGCACAGCCTTCTCTTTATTTGCCTTCGGGAAGAGGAACAAGTGTTCCTGGATCTTGACCTAGATCTCACCCAACATGGAGGCAGAGTGGTGCTCTTATGTTGGGTGAGATTGCTAGGGCCAATCGATGGGTTTAAATTCTAGATTTACTTCTTACCTACGGAGCCAGACTTTAGATAAATTAACGAGTCTCAGTGGTGCCTCGGTTTCCTCTTCTGTAAAGTGGAGATAACAATTGAGTCTACTATGTCCAAGTTGGTCAGTAGGGGCAAATAAGGAAACACAGGCAAAGCATCTAGAAGCAGGCTCAACCACTCAGGTAGTGGTTTTATTTTGCCAGTGAATCTCTTTGGCAGTGGCTTTCTTGTGATTTAGCAATGTGTTGTGACGTTTTAACTGTTATATATTCTTGATTATTTCTTTTTTTTTTTGATAGAGAGAGAATGAAAGAGAACTTTACCACCCTTGAAGAAGTCACCATAATTCTTCCTGAAGTTTACTAAGTGGACCCAGGCTAGGCTAGTGAGTGGGGGTCTCTGGGGGTGTCTCTCGAAGGTGACATCACCTGGTGCTCACAGGTCAGCTGTGTTCTTCCAGTGTGGGTGTTAGACTAAAGAAGGCTCTCAGTGCAGAAGCTCCTCACTGTCATAGTCATAGCCAATTTCAAATACTTAGTTATTTGCATCAAAATTAAAAGAGAGCCAGGAAGGGGAGATGTTGGGTGAAGGATAAATATTTGCAGTTAGGTTACGTAGTTAAACCATTTTAGAGGTAGAAAAGGCAGACAGCTTTAGTATTTGTAAACTTATTTTTTTAGTACTTGTAAGACTTTATAGTCCTCTTTTGCTGTTGTCTTCTGTCAGCGGGGCTTTGTGAGTTACTGCTTGACCAATAACTATTATGATATTCTGAACTTTTCAGAAAATGCTGATTTGCCTTCCTACACAATAAGTTAAAGAGATCTATTACGGGATAGCATGGTGACTATAGTTATGATATGTATTCTTAAAAATAAAAGGCAATAGGCAACCAGAAGGTAGACATTTTGCAGATGAGAGGGGGCCAAGAGCAGGAGGGAGGAAGAGGGAAGTAAAAGAATTAAGGTATATACATGTTATGCCTTTCCACAATGAAGGTAATCATTGTATACTGGAAACATGTACTAATTAAAATTTTTAGAAATTCTGGGAGCATGGATGTTAAGTGTTCACACCACCACAATAACAACATGTGAGATAAAGGATTCATCAGTTAAGAAACATAAACTACCATCTCACAGCAACTATGCAACCAGTTCTCCTTACCCGAGGGCTCTGCTTCTGAAGACTTAATCAATTGCAGATTGAGAATACCAGGGGAAAACTGCATCTGTGCTGAGACTCCAGACTTTTTGGGTCATTATGCATTAAATAATCCAGTACAACAGCTGTTTACATGGTGTTAATATTGCATTTGGGTATTATGGATAGTCTAGTGATGTTTAAAGCAGTAGTCAACCTTTTTTTGGTGCCAGGGACTGCTTTTGTAGATGACAACTTTTCATGGGGGGCAGGGGATTGGTTTCAGGATGATTCAAAGGAGCTTGCAACCAAGATCCCTGGGATGCATGCAGTTCACAGTGGGGCTGTGCTCCTGTGAGAATCTAATGCTGCTGCTGATCTGACAGGAGGCAGGCCTGGGGCAGCAAGGCCAGCAACTTGGAGTAGTGTGGCTTAGCTCACTCAGCCTGCAGCTCACCTCCTTCTGTGTGGCCTCGTTCAAAATGGACCATAGACTGCTGCTATCAGCCAGTGGCCCAGGGATTTGGAACCCCTGATCTAAAGTATGCAGGAAGATCTGCACGAATAATATGCCAATACTACACCATTTGGTACATGGTGACTTCAGCACCCTTAGGTCCTAATATCCAAGGAGTTTGTGGAACCAGTTCCCTGTGGTATTGCTGGACAACTGTCTATGTCAGAAGATCCTACTTGCTGTGATTTTAATTTGGTTTGTCCCCCAAACATCCATGTGACTGTAGCCTTTGTCCCCAGGATGATTGATACTAGTGGGAGTAGTAGCACCTTGAAGACATGGGGCCAAGGGGAAGGTCCTGAGGTCAATGAGGAAATGCCCTCAGAGAGGATTAAGGGAAATCCTGA